ACATACATACATACATACATACATACATACATACATACATACGTACATACATACATACATACATACATACATACATACATACATACATACATACATACATACATACATACATACATACATACATACATACATACATACATACATACATACATACATACATACATACATACATACATACATACATACATACATACATACATACATACATACATACATACATACATACATACATACATACATACATACATACATACATACATACATACATACATACATACATACATACATACATACATACATACATACATACATACATACATACATACATACATACATACATACATACATACATACATACATACATACATACATACATACATACATACATACATACATACATACATACATACATACATACATACATACATACATACATACATACATACATACATACATACATACATACATACATACATACATACATACATACATACATACATACATACATACATACATACATACATACATACATACATACATACATACATACATACATACATACATACATTCACATACATATAAACATCATACATACATTCACATACATATAAACATACATACACACATAAATATATGACCCATTGTTAACTATGTCTCTAGTTGATTTACTTACAAGCAAGTTAATAATCGAACACACACATCACATATCAACACACAAGCAACTTTTTTTTGGTAATTTCTTTCTTCCATTTCTTTCATTTTCAATCTTTCTCTCGTTCTATTTTTTTTTCATCAGTCTCTCAACAACAACAACTTTGTCAACAAAGTAATTTACAGTATGCGCGTGTAAGTAAGTTTCTATATAATTACTAATATATATATACAATCATGTATAACTATATACAACTAAATGTGTATACATATATGCATGTGTGTGTATATGTGTGTATGTGTGTGTGTGACTTTCTCTCTCTCTTTCTTTTCTCTTTCTCTTTCTTTTCTCTCTCTCTCTCTCTCTCTCTCTCTCTCTCTCTCTCTCTCTCTCTCTCTCTCTCTCTCTCTCTCTGTGAAGTGCGTTTGTGAGTTTTTCTCAATTTTTTCTTTTTTCATTTTTTTTCTCTCTTCTCATTTCAGTACATCATTTTATCTCTCTCTCTCTTTCTCCTCTTTTTCTTTCTTTCTTTCTTTTTTTTCTATTTTCCTATCTATCCATCCATCCATCCCTCCATCCGTCTGTATGTCCGTCCGTCCGTCTATCCATCCATCCATACATCCATCCGTTCATCCATCCACCTATTTGTCTATCTATGATTGTTTGTTTGATTGTGTGTGCGTGTGTGTGTGTGTGGTGTGTGACTTTATAAAATCATTACTATGGAAGTGAGGTGAGTGATTGATTGGCAGTCAAACTTAAATACGGTGCTTATTGTTAGTAACGTTACTTACCCTCTGATGTATGTGTTGCGTTTTAGTGTTATGATGTTATATATATGTGATCGTTTGATTGCTTGTTCGTCTGTTTGTTTGTATGTTTGTTCGTCTGTTTGTTTGTGTATTTCTTTGTCTGTTTTGTTTGTATGTTTTGTTTGTCTCTGTTTGTTTGCTTAATGTATGTGATATGTGTGTGTTTGATTGTTTTAGGCTGTGTGTGTTTGTTGTTTGTTTGTATGTTTGACTGTTCGTTCGTTTGTTCGTTGTTGTTGCGTGAAACAAGTTTCTCACCGTTTTAATGGTATCAGTGATTGCAATTATTTAAATAATCATTATCACTGTGGTAGAGATATTCTTGTAAAAACTGCCACATAAACACCATCATCATCATTGTCGTCATCATCATCATCATCATCATCATCGCCAACATTATCATCATCGTCGTCATCATCATGATGGATGTCATCATTAGCAACCACCAATGCAGTTGACTTGCTTAATAAATCAATGTGAAATCTTGGTGGTCCATTCATTCATTCATTCGTTCATTCATTCATTCATTCGTTAGTTCATTCGTTCATTCATTCATTCATTCATTCATTCATTCATTCATTCATTCATTCATTTATTCATCCATTCGTTCGTTCGTATGTTCGTTCGTTCGTTTGTTCGTTCATTCATTCGTTCATTCATTCATTCATTCATTCATTCATTCATTCATTCATTCATTCATTCATTCATTCATTCATTCATCCATTCGTTCGTTCGTATGTTCGTTCGTTCGTTTGTTCGTTCATTCATTCGTTCATTCATTCATTCATTCATTCATTCATTCATTCATTCATTCATTCATTCATTCATTCATTCATTCATTCATTCATCCATTCGTTCGTTCGTATGTTCGTTCGTTCGTTTGTTCATTCATTCATTCATCCATTCATTCATTCATTTGTAATTGACTATTTCTTTTATTTCTTTGTAACTCGCTCTCAGCACACACAAAAAAATATCTATTTTTTTTTTCATTCAATTCATTCTTTTATTTATTTATGTATATATGTGTGTGTGTGTGCGTGCATGTGTTTGTGTGTGTGTGTGGTGTGTGTTTGTGTGTGGTGTGTGTT